TCCGGCCAGGGCGGCAAATACTCCCGCGAGGCCAACGAGGCGCCCCGCGCGCCCGCCCCCGCGCAGTTCCGTGTGGTGAAGCTCAACCAGATCTGGGAGAAGGCGCAGCGGGTGAGTGCCGCCGGGCCGGGCCGCGCCGCCGTCCAGCCCGCCCCCGGCGCCCTTCCCGGCGTGTCGCGAGCGACGTGCTTCGCGGGGGACCAGGCCCGCCTGGAGGAGTGTGCGGTGCGAGCGGCACCCCGCGCGCTTTGCCCGGGGAGCACGGCTCTGGTTTTCCTGTAGGCAAAAACCCGAGCGAAAGCCGAGAGCTGGCGTTTCCCGGGCGGAGGGGTCCTCCGGTCTGCGGAGGGCGAGAGCCGTTGTCCGGCGCCCCTGAGCGTGGCGGCGCACCCCCTGCGAAAAGGCGCTGCTGACACTCGCTGCCAACACCGCTGGTGGCATCCGCGGGCGATCCGCGATCACCACTGACACTGCTGGCGGTGTCTGCAGGTGGTCGGCGACCTCTGGTTGGCGCTTGCCACCCCCCCACCGAGAGCGCTGCGGCTGCCAGCAGGAGCTCGCCGCTCACCACCCCCGCTGCCTGTGGGAGCTCGCCGCGCCCCACCAGCCTCGGGGCACGCAGCATTCACGCACCCAGTGTCGCGGGACACCAGCGGTCCTTACCCTGAGTTGCCAGGTCCCGGGGCGGGCTCTCCCCGTGGCGCTCCTAGCAGGCGTGTCCATGGGCGGATGTAGGGTTTGGAAAAGGGGGTGTAAGTGAGGACAGGCATCACCGCATGTCAAACGACGTGTCTTTTCAAGCTAAAAATAAACGACAAGCTTTGCCAGCATGCTCGGGGCCTAGGGCTGAGTTATCCTGCTTAAGATGGATGCAAAAACAAATCACTGGAATGAGTTAAAAGCAGTCAGCAGGGCTGTGAAAGAGGAGCTTCGTGGCCAGGAGCAGCTAACGCAACAGGATTGCCAAACAGCGGCCAGCTTGATTAGTGGAGCATCAAGATGGTTGTAAAGAAGAGAAGGTTGTTAACACCTGAGGATTGAAAGGTTTGGAAGGGATCCGGTAGATATGTGCACAGGACTGCTTCAGTATTTTACATTAAACAATCATTGCGGCAAGGACTGGAGCAAGTGTCGCAGCCTTTCTAGGCCATATTCACGTTGGTTCTCTATCACTCTGGTTGACTCATATCAAAAGAGTGGTACCCCCCTCCCCCCATACCTACAGCCTAGTAGTTGGAGCACTGCCTGGGGAGGAGTGCGTGATGTGGGTTAGACGTCTCGGGCAAAGGGAGTGATCAAACCTGGGTTTCCTGCATCCCCAGTTCTCTAGTCACAAAAGTGTTGGACAGAAGGTAGAAAGCCCTGCTTCCTCTGTCAGGCTTCATGCAGAACCCAATATATTCTCCAATTACTTACCACATCAAGTCCCTTAGGCAAGATGGGTGGAAGAAAACCTAGTCTGTGATTCCTGACCGGGCTTAGATCCAAGATGGCCATGAACTTGGTTAACTGTCATACTGCGCCCTTAATTTCACTGTGCATCCCTTCTAGCGTACCAAGTGAAACCGTCTCATGTCCATACATAAATGTGTCTCTACTTTGTGTGTGCAAAGATCCTGTTTTGCTAAACCATGGGGCCAAGTGCTATAAATGGCCTGTCTGTGTGTGGCATGCAGCACATGAGGGAGTGGGCAGGCAGCACAGCAACAAATGGGGTAGGCAGAACAGGGGATCAGGTATGGCGTACGGGGCAGAAAGCGGATCAGGAGATTGGACAGGGGGCACACAGCAGAAAGAGCAGTAAATTCGGCACAGGAAGGAAATCAGAGTGGTACTTGGGGAGAGAGCAGGAATATTTTGTGGCATACCTGCCAAAAAAGATTGGACCCGCACTGTGTTAAAGCGAGTGTTGGTGAATCTATTCACGTAACGAACCGAGCTGTAGTAAATGCTGGCTGTATAGGTGGGCCTCAAGAGAGGAAATACGTTCTTTTTATCAATTTATTTAGTTGGCCTATGCACAGGTGGCTTTCTCACTGACTCAGTTTCATTCTCAGGTTCAAATTAACCCAGAATTCCCTGATCTTTTGTAAACCTCAATGATCTTTCCAGCATATCTAGGGAAAAGTTTAAAATTGGCAATACAATCCCAAACCAGCTTCACTGGTGCATTTACTATACATATTAATGGGGCAGCACACCAAGCTGTGTATTGTGAGCTTTGGTGACACTATCTTTTGGCCTTCGCTGTCATTTAGCAGCAGCAGCTGAAAGTAAAGATCTTAATCATGCTGCATCAAGGCGGGAGGGATGGATGTTGAAATGCCGTATTTCAACATACAGCCATGTTGTTTTGTAACTTAGCTGAGCAATGCTGTGTTATTCAGTGGTAACATACAATCCTAGCCTATTTCCCAAAAATAAGGTTTGGTTTTTTTTGTGCGTAGCTTACCCCTGCTGTTCCTAGTCCGTTTTCTGTACATACTTAGCAAAGGGAATGCAATGGCTCACCTTATTCAGGGCCTAAGTCTAGAACCATTAAAATCAGTGACAGATTTCCAACTGATTTCTGTGGGTGAACAATTGGGCTTTTAGTTCTTAAAGAACCTCTTATGCATTTACTCATGCAGCCCCTGTACTTCTAATACAACCTGCTGGCAGAGGTTTTTGTCTCGAGTGAAAACCCCCTAGGAAGAATAAATTCCAAAGTCTATGATGATTTGAGAACATTGCAAGAAGAGGACGATTCGCTCCTTTGCTCAAAACAGTCTCACTTCTGTTTCTGTTGATACTAAGTTATAACAGAGACTAGCAATCTTTGATTTGACCTGGACTCTCTCAAGCGTCTCCAAAAATGGATCTGGAGAAGCTTGAGAGAGTCCAGAGGAGAGCCACATGCATGATCAGAGATCAGGAAAACAGACCTTACAACGACAGGCTGAGAGCTATGGGGCTCTTTAGCCTGGAAAAGCGCAGGCTCAGGGGTGATCTGATGGCCACCTACAAGTTTATCAGGGGTGACCACCAGTATCTGGGGGAACGGTTGTTCACCAGAGCGCCCCAAGGGATGACGAGGTTGAACGGTTATAAACTACTGCAAGACCATTTCATGCTGGACATAAGGAAGCATTTCTTTACTGTCTGAGCCCCCAAGGTCTGGAATAGCCTGCCATCGGAGGGGGGTCAAGCACCTACATTGGACCCCTTCAGGAGTAAATTGGATGTTTATCTTGCTGGGGTCCTATGACCCCAGCTGACTTCCTGCCCTGCAGGCAGGGGGCTGGGCTCGATGATCTTCCGAGGTCCTAATGTCTATGAAACCTGGTAATGCTTCACAGGGTCTTTGATTGCAGTTTCCAACAGTGTCAATCAGTGATATTAAACTTTAACGTTTGGTCAGTGTAAGGAACAAATAATTTGTCACTACACTGTTTAATTATAAGCTACCTCTGAAAGGTTTTGTATTGCTACATCTAGTAATCTGTTGGCTCAGCTGGCCAAAGTTACATGTACTCCTTGTGATGTTATAGCTGGTATAATTATTGGGCTTGTCTGTAATGAACTTCAGAGAGAGCGAATACTGTAAGTAGTAGCTTTACTGTTTTCTTTCAAGGAGGAAGCATATGGTAAATCTGTTTTACATGTCGGTTCTGTGTTGCCCCAATGGCTGTGCTAAAAGAATGGGAGATGCAGGAGAATTCCACTGAATTTGTCCAACAATTTGCACTCCTGTTGTTATATTTTTAATGTTCCAAGTATTATCTGTTGAATTTCCCACAGAATTACTTTTGGAATTGATTTCTTTTTCTCTTTTTGAAATTCTTTTAATTTCAAAAGGCATTTTAGTTTACCTAACCAAACAGTGTTGTGACCAAATTAACCAATTAAAGTTATACAGTAATATGAGAAATGAAAACTTCTCATTCCAAAACTTTTACCAAAACTGGATACTGAAACTTTTTTTCCTGAGCAGGCTAAATCTTAGGAAGAAAAGTCTGCATAAAAATTTAAAACTGGGGGAGATGGGAATTCTGTAAGTGAAAAAGGTAAGTTTTTTTTAAACAAAAGCTATCCCTACCCTCTCCTAAGCTTAACATGTTTAAAACACGTTTATCTGGCCTGTGCTATATACAGTGCCTATGTGCCATAAGGTATTTGCACAATGCAGTTATCTACTGAGGTCCCTTCCAACCCAAACATCTATGAATTTATGAAACTAGAAAATGTGAGTCTAACAAGAAAGGCATATAGTTAAAATGCTGTATTATCTCATTTTGAAAATCTGTGGGAATCAGTTTGTTAGTTCACTTAGTGGTATTTTTCCGTCCTGTTGGTTCAGCATGAATAAATTAAATTTATACCTCTCTAAGGTTGAACATTAACAGAAGTGAAGTCTTGGAGAAACTCAGTCATCCATATTACCATATAGTGGTTTTTTTGTGCAGTCTGGTAAAGCCTACATATGAAATTGAGGTCATGACTGAGCTGGTCTGGCTCAATTCTGCAAGGTACTGAGCAGTGAGCTCTAAAATAGCAGTGCACCAAGGGGCTTAAATAAATATTTTGCTGGCTATGGGCTGATGTGCTGATTCTTAAAATCTTGGCTGACTCGATTCTTAAGCAGAGCTTAACTGTAAGCACATGAAAAGTCCCATGAAATAAGTGGCATAGAGGTCAGTAGGATGACTTACACAGTTCAATACTGGATCGGGACCAGATAGCCCAGTATCATGAGGTCCCTTCCAGCCCTAAACTTCTGAGAATCTGTGAATCACACAGGTTCAGACCCTTAAATCTTAACTGTGATTGTAACTATTCTAGGGCCTTGTTTATAGTTCCCTGAGTGCTGGTAGAAGGTCTAGCAGCAGATGACCACCTGCAGCCATCAGACCACATACATATCCACGTGCTTCTGGTGGCTCTGCATGGCTTCATCACAGCACCTGTGCCACCGGAGAATACAAAAGGCCCTGGCTGCTGATGGCACTGGGTAGGTGACAGAAGGCACAGCAGTGCCTACATTTGCCTTCAGCTAGTTGCTGGGCAAGCAGCAGCAGCCTTACACTTCTTGGTGCAGGTAATTTAATGGTTCTGCCACCCCAGAGGAGCTTTGAGTGTGGACTTGACTTCTGCAGCAAAACTCATAACGTAGATTAAGCCAAAGCTTTGCAAATTATATCGACAAATTGAGGTCTTGATTTTGCAAAATAAGCTGACAAGTAATCCTGTTGAATTCTGTCCCCTTAAATTCAGTGGCAAAACCTGTGCTTCTGTTGAAAATCATGCTTAAGGGCTTTGCTGAATCAGCCCATTACATTATAGGAAATTAACATAGAACAGTAAGCTACTTTTTGTAGTTACCTTTTAAGTAACCTTACACTCTGAAGGGAAGCTCTCAGGGATTGTCTGTAGTTGGGGACTAGACAAACGTGTCCAAAAGTTAATGGTCTGTCTGATCAGAGACATTAGTTTTGGCTTGTTAAAATTATATTGCAAGTTCCAACTCTTCCTTAATGAAATTGAGGAGACTGCTCCTCAAAACATACCACGTACTGATTTTTTTTTAAAGTAGTTTCTTATTGTCTGTGAAAAAGCTGGATTCTCAGTGTAGATTATATACATCTATTCCCCTTCTTTATTATCACATGATAGCTTTTAGTTTGATTATGCCAGCACACAACTTGCAGGGCATAAGCTAACTGATGATCAATGGAAGCATACAACCAAATTCAGACCTGGATCCAGACTTTCTGAAACTTGGAGGAGTAGGTTATTGGAAGTGAAATGATTTTTGCAAACTGATATGAGACTTCAAAAGCCAAAGTTATGAAGTGGTTTCCTTCTGAGCTTTTTTTCTCATACCTCTCTCCTACCCAATCTCATGTTCTTGGACAAAAAACAAGAAATGACCCAAAACTATTATAGAAATATAAAAACTAATATTTATGTAGTGTTTAAATCAAGTAATCAAAATGAATGAAATGAGGAAATTAGAAAGTTGTTGTTCCCATGATAGCAATACTGATTCAGTCACATGCAGAAAACTCATCTCTGTACTTCCTTCCTTCCTTAAATGTATACCACAGTGTCTGCAGACTGATCCATCATTCCTTTAGAAACCTTGCGTTTTTAATCTCTTATTGGTTCCAGCCTTGATATCTCATCTTTATTTTCCATTAAGAACAGGAACATTTCCATGTTGTGTTTTAGTATTTGGTTCTAAAATAAGATGCACTTTGTGGTTTGCACTGTGCAGTGAAATCTAGTACATTAGAATAAAAAAAATGTCTAATTTTAGTGGTCTAAATGAAAAGGAACACAAAAAGGGGGTGAAAAGATGATTTTATATTATACAGTATTAGTAATGCCAAAGGATATTTAACATGGCAGTACCCCATTAAATAAATCTCCTCACCACTTTTCTGTCTCTCCCATAATGACAGCTGTAAAAAAGCACACTTCGTATTCAGCCTTCCTAAGAAGACAGGCTAAAATATATATTTTTTTTAACTCACCTGGTCAATTTAGCTGTTAATGAAGTGACAGAGGAGCTTCTGTTAGGATATAAATATGAAAGGCTAGTTGAAATGACTTTGTGTAAACAGTCTGGTTTGAATCGCATTTAACATAGTAGGGTCCTTGATTTCTGATTGACACTGTCGCCTTTCAGTTGATTATCAAATGTCTTTTATGTCAGTCTGGCTTTGGAGGTAACTTTGCCCCCGTGTATGAGAGTGTCTGTGTGTGTGCACGTGTGATACAAAGCAACTGACTACAAAGCTTTTCTCTGTTCTTGTTAGCTCCAGCTATCTGCTGTAAAACTGGCAGAGCTACACAGTGATCTAAAAATACAAGAAAAGGATGAGCTAGGCTGGAAAAAACTGAAGGCTGAAGGGCTAGATGAAGATGGAGAAAAAGAAGCCAAACTTAGACGCAACTTACATGGTAAGAAATAATGTACTTTAACAACCTGAGTGCCCATGGTTGAACAGGTTAAAATTTTAGTCCAGACACTTGCATTCAGGCATCTGTATTTAAGCATTAAATGGGGGCTGATTTTTTCATAGGCACTGAGCACAGCCAACTTGTACTGAGATTAGTGTATCTCATCTCAGTGTGTGCAGAATGACGTTGATATTGCCCTTTTAACAAACTGGATGAAACTAGGGAAATGGGTAAGGTGCAGGCATTTCTGAGGACAGAAGTCCTTACTCTGATGATAGTGCAACTCTAATGTATGAACAAAGGATGAGAGAACAGAGATGTGAAAGAAAGTGGCACCGTTTAACACACATCTTCTGTGCTCTTGGCTTGAGGTAGCTTGTTTGTGTGTCACTTTTACTATCCTGGGAAAAACAACTGGGGCTTTCAAGCCTTACTATAAATGGGTAATTCATCAACAGAGCTATCAAAGTTGGGATCTCTGTATCTATGCATGAGTCCCTACAGCAACGATTCTTAGCTGCCATACCCCAATATCCTTCTAAGGGTGCCACAATGCTCAGACCCTGTGCCAGGAGGCAAATGATTGCACCTCCTGTCACTTGGTGCCAGCCCCACTTTTTCTCCACCCCCCTCCCCCCAGTGTCCCATAGACAGGCCATATCTGTGACCACTCCCCATCCCCTGGCAGCTCTCCTTACGATAGTATGTTCCCAGCAATTTGATGTTTCAGGCACACAGAAGAGCACTTGGGCAGCCCTGGAACCACAGGTTCCCCTACCCCTCATACTCCCAGGGCTGGCAGGTATATGTGGCTCAAGTTGTCAATGTTCAAGTCACCAAAGGAGTAGTGTCTACTCCCTCAGATACAGACCAGGGGCTGGGAGAGGGCAGAGGGTAGAAAAAAGCAGGTCAGAGTGGTGTAAGGACCTGCTTCCTCCACCCTCACCTGGCATGAGCTAATTCTAGCTCAGTAGTTTTCAGCTGGAGTGCTGCTAAATTCCAACAAAGTATGAAGGGGGTGCCTTGAGGCTGAAAAGGTTGAGAACTACTGCTTGATCTAAAAGCCTGAACTCCTGAGTCAAGATAGTAGCAGGCTCCTCAACCTTTCCATGTGGTCCAGATACCAGTTAAGAGAGATGGCTCCACACTGAGCAGATATACAGGAGAAAAGAGGTTCCAGGAAAAGATACAGATTTTTTTTTTAAGATAAGCATGATTAGCTCTTGGGTTTAAGATTTCTTGATCTTTTGTTTCCCCGTATAGTAATTATGGCTAAATATGGAATGAATGGAAAGAAGGATGCTCAACTAGCAGATTCCAACTACATCAAAGATGGCTCAGAAAGTGATGTGCTAGATGATCCAAGACTGGAGAAATTATGGAGTAAGGTGAGTTTAATTTCTTGGTTATGCAATATAGGAAGCAAATCTTCATTCATGTGTGTGTTTGCTGAAGCCTGGGGTGACAAAACAGTTGTAATCATGTGGTTGTAATCAGACTAAGAAAAGTAGCAGGCAGATGATACAAATTCCTAAACCCTGATACAGAATTGCCCTTGAAAGATGCCAGAGTAAATCTCAGCTTGTATAATTGATTTAGGTTTTGTCTGTTTAGTTGTTTAGTAAATGCAAGCAGGCTAATACCTACTCCCCACCACCTAATGGTGAGACATGGTAATAGCTACCTACAGTGTGAATTACTCTGGATAACTGTGACCTGATGAAGAATGCATTTCATTTGAAAGCTTAAATCTATTCCAACCATGCAGTTGGTCCAATAAAAGATATAACCCAAAACAAACCTCGCCCTGGATAGCTGGTCATCTTTTCCATTCCTAAGCCTTGCATAATTTACTGAGGTGTACAAAACTAAAGTAAATTTCACTGGGGTGTGTGTTCATCTGTCTAGGAGCTGAGCAACCCGGAAGAGGTTTTAGTATTTCATTGACAGCAATCCTCCTTGAGAATATGGTACGTTGTATCTGTTAGGAGCATATCAGTCAAACTGATGTCAACTGGAGTTTTGCCCTTAATTTCAATGGGGTCAGGATTTCACCCTATATGAATAATTGAGAGACTGCTGTGTAACTTAGTGAGGAAAGGAGACCTAATGATGCATGTCTCATACAGTTAGGGTTTTTAACCAACAGCTTCATCTTGTAGTATTTGCAAGTGAAACATTTCAGAGTTTTTGCTGAAAACCAGAATGTTTGCTGTCCAATTCTGACAAAACTAAAACAGGATGTCAGCATTTAGCAACAAACAGGTTGGCAGGGAAATGGAAATAATTAAAGCAGACTGCTCTTAATATTCTTTATTTTAACAACCTAGTGTGATGTAAAATAGAGAGAGAAATTTATCCTGTTTATATAATATTTTAGCTTGACAGTGTCCCTGACAAGTGCTGTACTTTACCCTCTTTGGGGAAAAGTGAAAAACAACCATTTAGAAACATTTCTTAACAGCAATTAGCTGGTTAGTATGTGAAAATATCATTTTTAGGCAGTGGGAAGGAAAGCATCACAGCAAGCAGCACCATCTCCAGAATACTGGGGCAGCACTCCAGCTGCCAATCCTATGCTTCTAATTGCTCTGCAGCAAACTGCTCACTGTACTAGTTATTAGCAAGTCCAGGACATGCACTGCTGTATTTACCCACCAATAGAATGAGAGTTCTCCAATAAAGCTTATCTTTGTGTCCGGTTAAATTTCAAGTATAAATAGACCCCTAACTTGAGTATACAGTTTGTGTCTCTTATGCTTCTACCTGACAGCTTCCTACCGTATATGCATGACCAGAATTCTTTTTCCTTGTATCTCCAGGTATTTGGTAAGTGAGAACCTGGCCCCATTAAACTCAATTAGAAAGCTCCCTTGAATTCAGTGAGGCCACAGTTTGACCCCATCCTACCTGATACAAGTAAAGATGTGCCTCATGGGATTCTAAAGAGAGACTTACCCTAAATACTTAAAAATATATTTTTGGTAACTGAATTTATTGTACGCTGAGCCTGGAAAATGGAAGAGGTTTCTAACTCCTATCTCATTTGTATTTCTCATAGGCTAAGACCTCTGGGAAGTTCTCTGAGGATGAGCTGGATAAGCTGTGGCGAGAATTTAAGCATCACAAAGAAAAGATTCATGACTATAATCTCTTGCTAGAGACTGTGAGCAGAACAGAAGGTGTCTGAATGTTTGCCTTATGTTTCCAAATCACTGCAGCCCTCTATCTGCCAGTTGCCTCAGTTGTTTCTAATGATCTTTAAAATCCTTAAGACTGATTCCTGTATTAATAGTAGGACTCTTTGCAGCTGCTGACATTCATAGATACCTGCAGGGTATCATTCTGTGTCTTCTTCCAGTAACCTTCCCAGCTAATTGAACAGTTGGTTTCTCTGTTGCTGACTCTCATGAGCATTATAGTGAGCAAGGAGGATACTGGGTCACAGTGGCAAACATCAAGTTCTGGGCCACTCTTCTAACCCTTAGGCCTTGTAAGTGGGACTCTGATTCAGTAGAATAGAATATATATCCTCTCAGACACTGGGTTGACAGGTTCTTGGGTTTCACCTGGCAAAATATGGTTCTTGGGTTTCAGCTGGCAAGAAAAGATGTCTTAAAGCAATAAGAGGGTCAAGTTGCCTCAGGAATGGTCAAGTTGCCTCATTCCTGAATTCATCCTGCTGCTTCATCCCAGCTAAGTGGGGCTGAGGCAAAAGTGGCACCGTTGTGTCACTTTTCACTAAGGCTGCTAGAGGTCAGTTCAGCACCTGTCTATATGTGTTACCCAATGCTGTGGGCCCAAGGCCCACCCAACTAATTAGGGGCCTCTACAGTGTGGGGCCAATGAATGAATAATACAGCTAATTCCTTGGGACAACTAAAGCAAAAACAGGATAGGCCTATTTGGTATCTGAGGCCGTGGGCCCAGCCCACTAAGGACAATGTGGCTGCCACTTCTGGGCCGCTGAGGTAGGAACCTCAGCTACCAACTGATTTTGTGGGACTAATAATGAAAAAACAGGGCATACTCGTGAGGTTATAGGGACAAAACAAGTGCACCTTGGGGGGACACCAAGCAGAGCACCCCAACCAGCGCCCACTGGCTCTCAAAGGCATCCAAGGAGCCAGTGTACACCTCCCACTGGTGTTCTGCCTGGAAACGTGCTTGAACAAGTGAGAGGAAAGCGGCCCTGCAGTCTCTGGGTACCTTCCCGGCCAGAGCCTCCTTCCTGGTCAAGTACAGAGCCCACTTGGCCAGGGCCAGGAGGAGGTTGACCAGGAGGTCCCAGGACTTGGTGGGGCCATGGATGGGGTGACCAAAAACAAAAAGGTGGGGGGTGAAATTCAACCAGAACCTCAAGAGGAGGTTCTGGAGGTGGAGGGGCTGCAGCCTGGCGCACTCAGGTCATGTGTGCCAGGGTCTCCCTCTGCCTGCAGAAGGGGCAGGATGTCCGTGAAGCTCGCCACATACACACCCGTGGTGACAGCTCCATGAAGGAGCCGCCGGCTGAGGTCCCCAGTGGCTCGTGGGATGAGGATGGAGTACGCACTCAGCCACTGGGGTGTCCCAGCAACGCACTTGCCGAGCAGGTCCCACCACTTGGTCACTTCAGCACCTGACACAGGTCAGAGTAGCCCAAGGTGGTTCCTTAACTTGAGCCTTACTCTTAACTGCCCCTTCAGGCCACTCCAGCAGCATGGTATAGAAGGGTTCTGTTCATAAGGTCAAAAGAGGGACATAGAAGTGTTCCCCTGGAATATAACACTGCTGGTGTGCTGAGATTTTCCTACAAAAAGGGATAATATTATTCTGGATCTTATTGCAGTTTTTGCTTTAAGATATGATGTATTTCTGCACTAAATCATCGGCATTAATAACATCAATTTAGAAAGAAAAAAGTGCTTACTTCTTAATGTATAGTACTGATGCTTATTTACTGTGCAATTAATCACTGAGAAGGGCCGAGTACTTATTACCTGCATTCAAGTTGCTGGGGTTTGCTGGGGTTTCTGACTTCTCAGGATCTGGCCCATCTTTAATTATCATGTGTCTTTCTGAAATAGAAATCCACAAAAACGTAATCAACCCCTCTGACGAGAATGTGGTGAAAGAAGAGCTGTTGCACAGCAAGCACAGAGAACTCAAAGACAAACTACGGAGCATCAGTCAAGGGTTTGAGCGTTTACGTAAAGTCAGCCACCAGGGGTACGACGCAACCAGTGGTATGGGTCACTCTGTTTTCCCAATTTTTTAGGATCAATTTTATAGAAAGTCAGTTAGAATATAGCCGGATCCGGCCAAATGAGCACTCTACAAGGTCATGATAAACAGTTTTGGGACAATGAGGGACACTGCCAGCCAACTCTATTCAGGTGCCAGCCTTAGGGCCCAAATACTCTATTTCTTCTCTCTACCCAGGTTCCACAGTAAAGATAGGTAGCCATTCTCTTCGATTTTCCACTGGCTTGTACCAGGGAAGAGAAGGGCAAGCTGAGAATGAGCCAAACTGCCTGGACCATGGCTGCACAGAGCCTCTAGGTATAGACTCCCTTTTGGCTGCTTATAACCTATCTGCACTACGTCTCCTGTAGAAACTGCAGGGCCAGAGGTACCAGGGACTGCTGTCCCTGCAAACCATGGAGTCACGGACAGGGAAGTGGGACTCTGATTCTGACCAAAGCATGTAGCCCTTACTGCAGTATGGTTAGTAAACCCAAATACTTGGTCCATGTTTCATGCTACCAGCATTGGCATTATCCAAACAGCTAAAATCTCTCAAACCTTCAGAGTTGCTACCATGAAATACAGGTGGATTCCAGCCCTGCCTCAGCCTCTGATACTGATCCCCACGACAGAACTAATGCAAGGAGCAGGATTAATGATCCCATAGAGGGGACATTTCCCTCTTTCAACCAGGATTTCATCTGTACACAAAGGCACAGAAGGCAAGAGAGCTGACTGGGTCTCTGCATTTAAAAGTCCAGCATGTACAGTATTACATATTTAAATAAAAAATACCAATACCAAAGTAGATGTAGGCCATATACAGACATTCAGTTTCTTCTGGGAGAGTCATTCCCCCCAGAAAAAACTCCCAAGTGTACAGATGTCCAGGAGTTTTCTCCCAAAATTAAAATAGCTGCTCTGGGAGAAAAATAACCTGGGAACAGCCATAGTTAAATCATTCCCAGGATAGTTTCTTCTGAGAAAGCAGATATCTGTATGTTCTCTTCTCAGAGAAGCCACAACACAGTCCTCCAGCATCCAAGGGTGCTTTGTTGCCACTACCCAGGAAACAGCCTGTCACTTGGACTTGACTGCTACTACAGCAGAGCAGGCAGCAGAATATGCCTCCTTCAGAATCAGCAGTGTGCTGCAGGGAGACATAGGCTGACCCAGAGCAGTCTGGATCAGCCAGTCAGAGTTGCCTTCTGCACTGCTGCCATCTGTCTTCACCCAGACTGAAGGTGCCTGCAGAACATGCTGAGATGTGTGCACAGGGGGACCCTGGCTACACAATGTCAGCACTCCAAGCTTTCTGGTCTTCAGGGAGTCAGTGCTCAAATGTCTATTCGTGCACTTCCAGTTGAGATTTTTTTATCAGGAGAGCAAACCTGAAAAAATTGTCCCAGATCATTTGAGTGTGCATAGGCAGCCCTGTAATGCAATACTACTTCAGGTGTGCGCTTCTCATGGAGACAGTATTTACATACAGTGGCATCTATTATTTTCTGTGTAGATATAAAAAGGATTGTGGTATGTGTCTCTCTAGAATTCGAAGAACCCAGAGTGATAGACTTATGGGACATGGCCAAATCTGCCAACTTCACTGAGAAAGAGCTTGAATCCTTTCGGGTAAGGTAACGTTTAATGGCTTTACTTATACCTTGGAGGGAGAACCTTCTCCCTGCGTCTGTTATGCTCTGGATATAATAATTTCTCTGCTGCTGTTATGTGATCACCCCAGACAAGACAAACATGAGTCTTGGTCCTGCATACATACACGTAGCCACAGTGATGGCTTCAGTAATCAAATAGCATCATTGTCTTCAGTGAAACTACTCCCATGAGTAAAGTTTACTCATATACTCAACTGTGCTTAAGACTGGAATCTCACTGCAAGCAGATCCCCCATTTTTCGCTTTCTAATATCGAATTGTAGTTAATGCTTCAGGAATTTATTAAAGGATGACAAAACCAAGCAATGCCAGCTAATTGACTTCCCCACTGGGGTTTCATTTCCCCTTGTGGAAGGGGTGAGCTTTGCCAATTTCACACCAAGGAACAGTATACATGCATAGAGACCCTCTTAAGCTGAATGTAGAGATTACTGTGGTGATCGTGTTTGCCACCACTGGCTTTCGAAGCAATGAAATTTTGAACTTGCACTCTTGCTGTTGCACATGCTGTGTTCCCTCACATGCTCATTCTGTGTATCTGCATCTAGAGAGAGTTCATATTTCATCCCCTTGAAAGGGTGTTAGGATGGGGTTAGGTTAAAGTTCATGAGTAGGCTCTGAACTACATAATGTTATATATACTTTGTGAGCAGGCTCTGAACTATAGAGAACTATATAAAATCTATAGTTGCTTCAAAAGCCTGCTCATGAACTTTAACCTGTGTTCTGGTAGCATCCCCTTGGAACATATGAAAGTATTGGACCCACTTCACATGTAAGTGTCAGCACAGAGGGTAACCTCTCCTCTGTGAAGTCTGGCAGAGCCCAGGATAGATTTCAGATCTCCAGAGTCCCACTTGAGCTCACAGGACTGTCCTTCCTTTCCTTCATCGCATGAAACCTATTTCCTCTCAATTAAACAGGTTTCAATGACATTGATTTCAGCATGCATGCTTCTAATGTAGCATCTCTTCCAAAGCCCTCTGAAATCAGTGAAAAGGTTACCGTTGGCTGTGATGGCCTTGAATTGGGCCTATACAATAGCATGAAAGATAAATCAGGCTCACATTCTTTCTCTAGAATAAGGCAAACTTCAGTTTTCCACTGATAGGATCTAAAAATAATCATTTTGACCCTTAAATATCCCCCTGAATATATTCAGGCAGAGATCTCCTATTGGGCAAACAGCACATACCTGTGTAAAGCTCTCTTGCTATGCATGTCAGCAGCACAGTGAATCCTGGGATATTTTAGATTTCTAAATTAGGAAAGGAAAACTAAAGGATCAGACTTGCTGAAGTTCCTTTTAATCTGTGTTTGAATACTCAGCAGCTAAAACTGCCTCTCTTTCTTAATGCCTATAATGCAAACCCTACATAGGTTTCATAATGAAAAGTCTGAAGGATGCTCTGTTGGCACATCATCTGAGGAAAGCAGCTTGAATGGTTCATCAACCCAAAGCTAAAATACCATGTGGCATACAGTAAAACCCAAAGCTAAAATATTGTGTGGTGTGTAATGTATAAAACAGGCTAGGATGTTCTGACAGGCTAATTATCTCCCTTTGCAACAGTAACGTTGAGAGAGAGGCACGATCTCTGCTTTCAAAGCTTGATAAGATCCATTAGGATGGAAGATGTTTTTATTGCTTTGTTTCCTGATCATCACCTTTGAGAACTCCTTCAGCTTGAAACCTAATCAAACCAGTGACAGATACTGAGTGGTCCGTGAAATGATTGGGTCTCCACCTGTTCTTCATGTGTTACATCCCAGAGAATTATTGCTATCATTAGCACAACAGTAGGGATGACCCTGAACAGTGCTGTCACATGGGCCACATTCTTTAGGGGTATTTTAAATTTAAGACGGTGCTTTTGTATTCCTTTTTGTTTTGTTTTGTTTTGTTTTGTTTCAGGGTTTTGATTTTTCTTTAATTGCTCAGTTCTAGTCTACATCCATCACAGTTAGAGCAAGTCAAGAAGGCAAATCATGACCTGTCTGATCACAAAGAAAAGCTAATTCTAGGAGTTAAGAGCTTGAGTTCGAAAAATTGCACCCAATTTGTTGTATTTGTTTATAGGCTTCTCAACAGCACTCACTGCTGTCCTGCCGTAGTGCCTTACAGGCAGTAATAGCTTCCTCTTGAAGTTTGTGCAGTAGATCGATGTTTGGGTGCCTTCCTCCAAAGCTGACTTTCTAGGTGGTTGTGATGCTCCATTGCCGCAGCGTTCTTAAGAGGCAGACAACTGGAAAGATTTTCAGTGTCCGGTTCATTAAAGCAGCATTAGGAGTGTGCTCCAGAGGGGAGAGAATGCCATTTAACTGAACTCTGTATTCATTTTTCAAGGAGGAGCTGAAACACTTTGAAGCAAAAATTGAAAAACATCAGCACTACCAGAAACAGCTAGAGATTTCCCATCAGAAACTAAAGCACATAGAGGGAACAGGAGATAAAGATCATCTGAACAGAAACAGAGAGAAATATACCATGCTAGAAGAAAAGACTAAAGAATTGGGATACAAGGTCTGTATAAATAAGCTGTGTGTTTATCCATCTCCATTGTAGGTTTAACTTTGGCATAGAAGGAATTTGGATTTCCTATCGGGTATCATCTCTGATGTTAATTTATTAATTCATATTTATTATTTATGTTCCAGTATGTAGCAAACTGATGGCACTGGTGAGAGATGGCCCCAGTCCAATAGAAAGTACATGCTGAGTTGGTGGGAAGTGGAGATGGTATTGTCCCTTTTTAACAGAGGCACATAGGGAAGGGACTTGGGTAGAATTTAGGCACCTAAGTCCTGAAAAGCCCTGCTCAGCTACTGCCTAACCCTGAAGATGACCAAATCCCAAAGACACCTCACATTTTGACATCAAAGTGCCTTAGGCGTCTAAAGTGCTACCTTTATGTATGTCCAGAACTGCCTAAGTTGTTACAGGTTGAAATAGCCTATTTCAGGTACATGCCTAAACCTAATCAGGTTCATAAACTAGGTGCCCCTCTACCTATCACCTTTGAGGGGCCTTATCTAGTAGGCATTTTCAGAGCAAATCTACTGGTTTGGGCTCGTTACAAAACACAGGGCCAGTTGCTGCTTTCTTTTAAAGTGATAGCCATAATGCTAGTGTCAGTACTGACATCATCTACTCTGAGCCTGGAGTGAAAGTACTCCCCAGACTTCATGTTCAGTTCCCTCCTCTAAATGAAGTGATTCAAACCCATATCCTCCACCTTCATGGAGTGTGCTCTAATCACCCCCAAACTATTCTGAGTTGGGACAGCCCTTCCCATTTCTGTTGGAGCATTTCCATTTTGCATATAACATTTCAAAATAGCAATAATTCAGTAAGCCAAACACAGAGCACAGAAAGGAGCCTGACATTCCAGCCTAGTTAGTCAGGTGCTCACCAGCTTCTTGGTTGCTTACATATGTTTATATTAAGAAGTCATTAGAAAAAATGTATAGTGTGAGGAGTAAGATTTTATAGCTTTTGAGCACTGATGGCAAAATAGAATATGCAGCATCAGTCTTTTGACATTTCTTCTGCATTGAATAAAATACATATATATATTTACTCCCTAAGGTAAAGAAGCACCTACAAGATTTATCTGGTAGAATTTCTAGAGGTCTGCAACACAATGAACTTTGAGTATCCCTTCCACGTTATATAATACATTCCACATAATGTACTAACTTCCAGTACATCGTTCTTCATGGAAAGGACTTATCAAGATGACCTTCTGAAATATCCACAGAAGCAGATAAAGAGTAAGGATTCACCAGGGTTGGTCTTTGTAGGGAACCTTTCTTCAGTCATTTTGGTCATTGATCTGGTATCTTTGTGATTAGTCAAATGAAACCACCCAGTTAGAAATGCATATTTAGTTTGTGCATCTTTGATGATCATGTAAATATTGTATCTAAATCCAATGTCAGTTTTTGAAATAAGCAGTTGTTCACATGTATAAGATGTTGGGTATTTTTTCTATCAGGGAAACTATTTTTGTATCAGTAAGTCCATCCCAATCAATGAAAACCACAACAAATCAGTGAACTAGTCCTGGGTTTAAAACATGAGTTTGTCTATCATGCTGCACAGACTAAAGGTGGAGCTAGAAAAATCTGTGTTTACAAACCACCCCCCTGCCCACTAAAGTTCAGTGGGCATTAAATCAGGTATTTGTTGCAGATAATCATATATTGAGGAAGTTAAAGAACAGGTTTTGTGGTCACTTCTCCCCACATAGTTCCAAACTAACACCCTTCAGAAACTACTGAGAATTTGTACAATCCTCACATTCACCTTTGTTACCTTTCGTTACACTTAATCATTAAACAAAACCAAATTACCTTTATGAGTGTTGTTTTTCCCTCCTCTCCTTTTGCCTAAAAATAATTCCAGCTCTCCTGCTGCATCATTCTTCTCTGTGCTAGATGCTGGCATTGGTGTTGAGCATGCAGTTCATAATGTTTATGGCACTGGTTGATTTTGCATACAAGAATGTGTTTTTAATTTTGAAAGTTCAAGAGATTTTCAGTAGCAAGGTATCTAAATGTGTATTACCCAGTGACTCCTATAAGGGACCCTATTGAGACCCTGATTTTGAACTTGCTAAACTTAAACCATTTCTGGTGGCATTTTCTATCCTAGTGCTGACACAGCTTGATTGTTTTTCCAGCTAAAACTGCTTCAAGAACTGTAAACACTTGCTGTCATTTTGTTGAGAAGTTCAGCACTTGAACATTTCAGGGCTTGGACTTGATTTCTTGGGCAATTGTTAACTGTGTTTTCAATGCAGGGTTTGAATTGTGTGCAACGAGGTAGGCACAGAGAGATGCTTGGGATGATGATGGAAATACTGAGTAAGTAGTCATTCAGTACCATCTGAGGGGCTCTGAGGAGAGACTGGAAGAAATCATTAGAGATCATGTAATGCAAGTCTATATCATAATATGCCTCATGTAGGTAAATTAAGGTGGCAGAGGCCGACCTTAATTTTGAATGTTTACCTCTGAAGCCTTAACTTATTAGATTTTTAATTTAACATAATATTTTACTCTGTTCTGAAGCAATACTATTTATTGAGCAATGGCAGGGGCAGATCCAGAGGAGGCATAATGGCACAGCTGCACCCTCCTTTTGGATTGGACTGCACTGCAGGAGCCTCTTGGGACTTCTTAAAGTTCCTAAAGCAGGCGAAAATACTCTCTCCCTTCCCCTTCCTGCTCAAAGTAATGCCCCCTTTCCCACCATCCCTGCCTGCTGCACAGGGGCTGGGCTCAGCTAGGGATGGGGACATGGTCAGCAGGGATGGACAGGAGTTCCCCTTCCCTGCACTGTGATGGGGCAGGATGGAGGGAACTCTCCAGGACCTCTCTAGTCTCCCTGTTGCCGCTGTCCACTCCCCAGCTGAGCCCAGTCCCCCTGCCCAGCCCAGCTGGCTCTGGAACTTCCCCTGCCAAGTGCCGGATTATAGTTTAGGCTGAGGACCTAAACTATGTCCAGCTTAAGAGGCCCCATACGATAAAACTAATCCAATGTATGTACATTTTTGTTATATTAGAACAAAAATGTCCATATTTAGAGAGTCATTTTCCCATATCTCCTTTATTTACCAACTAATTATTATAAAACTTGATATTGAGTCAGGTTTTTTTACTTATTTAGAGGCCACTCATATTGTGAGGCCCTAAGATGTAGTTTAAGTAGTTTAAGCCTAAATCTGGCACTGTCCCTATTCCCCAACCATGGAGAATGCAGCAGGGGCAGGCAGGGGAATGGGAATGGGACAGGGTGGAAGGAAAGAGGAGGGGAGAGAGTTGCTTCCAATCAGGAAATGGAAGGGAGTGGGTATTTTCACCTGCTTTAGGACTTTAAACATTTCCCAGAGGCTCCCACAGGCTGGTCTGCCCATACTGATGGTGCAGAAGAGGCTGGGAGCATGGGATGCAGCCACCCCTGCAGTGTAGGTTGCTGCTCCTGCACCCCCTTTGGAGAATCTTAGATCTACCCCTGAGCAATGGAAACATAGGCTTTCTTCCAGAAAAGCCTGAGAAAAGGTCTGAGTCTTTCTTTATATCCTGAATCATGAGCAGACAAACAGGGAAAGCAAATGGCAGGTTCAAGGGCATTTCAGTAGCATTGCAATCTTAGCCAGGATTCATTGCAAGGAATGTTACTGCAGTTGTGGTTTCATGGGGATCTAGTTTAGCATGACTGCTCCTAGCTGTGAATGTCCATACACTGTGAAACTTCAGTGGCTTCTTATCAAGTGTGAGAGCACTAAACCATGGGTGAAATCCACTGGCTTCAGTCCACAGTAGTGAGATTCATCCCATACACTATTTATTCATTTGAAGCATGGCTGAATGATGCTGGAAGTAATAATTAAGACCTGATTCTACTCCCACTGCAGCCAGTAAAAAAATTTCTATTGACCTGAGCAACAATAAGCCGTGCTATTTAGTAATCAATAATAATCAATAAGATGGCATCTGAAGCAACTCAGCACCTTTTTCTACCAGAAACCATCTTGCATACAGTCAGCAAAAGGTTACTTGGAATTGTATTGGATAAACTTGAGCCTGTTTGCAATATAACACACTAGGCTTTTATGAGATGTCTTTCTGAAATGACTCTAAGGCAGGGGTCAGCAACCTATGGCTCATGGAAAAGCTTTCAAAGAATATGAATGAACTTGAATATCTCATTATTCATGCTTGTTTTGGTTATATTTTTTCTCTCAGGGACTGGCTTGTGGGGTTAAAATAAGAAAGGACCAGGACTTGAAAAACTTTCCTTGAAAGTTTTTCCAATGATTGAATACCCCGAGATCACCTGACTGCATTACTTTGGACAAACAAATTCCTATCTTTTTAAAATTAAAAACAAGCACAAACACACACAACCAAATACTACCCTTTTTCCTGCCTTCCCTCCCCATCACACATTAATATCCAAACTAATGGACTATGCGGCTCATGGAAACAAAAGTGAAATCTGGTTTTGCCTTCAGATTTGCATCTCAGATGGAAGTTGTCTGCATCTCTCATGAAGTGAGATGAAATAAGATAAAAGATGGGAGCATGGGGATGTAAATAGACCGTATGTACTTAGATATAAGACAACCCCCTTAATAATTAGATTGTATATATGGAAAATTTATCATTTTATTATAATTTTTCAGGTATAGAATCTAATTATTGTCCCCCGTCCACCGCTACAACGGGGAAAAGAAATCTGGGGCATCAGGTAGCCTCTTGCTCTGTCCCCCCACTCCCTAACTTCTTTTCTGCATCCCCTTTTGTGAACACATGGAAGTGAGGGGCAAATTTGAAAACACCTTGAAATAAACATACCTGTAGTAATTTGTATATGGACAGTTCATCCAAAATTGATGCAATTTACCTTTTTGAAACTGCTGCAAGTTTTAGCACAGTACTCCATAAACATACTTTTAAACAGTACTTTCGAACCAACTTATATGCAATATAAACTAAGCACAATATTAGTCCAAAGCCAAAGGCTCATGATTTACCATATGGTGCATTGGGCTGGGCCCTACCAGGGTCAAGCCATGGTGACCCCACAGCTCAGGACTGCTCAGTATATGTGTGCGTATTCCAGACACCCCCGACAAAGGGTCCATGTACTAATTAGCCCCCCACTCATGACTGGTACCGAGTGTTTTTGTCACAAGTCCTGGGATCCTGCAGGATGGAGGGTGGGGCCACACTAATATGCAACAGGCTGAAAAGAGTGGGCGACAGAGGGATTCTGGGTGAACTATTTGGGGCCATGTTTGGAGACATTTCCCATACATTTAAGGCTGGTGAAGAAGCAAGAATCATTGGAAATGTGAACAAAGACACAGCTCAGCTGTAGAAGTGAAGAAGCCAAAATGTAGTCAGTGTAGTAGCTGACCTTGACTTACAAAAAAAATCGAGGGGCACTGAGCACAATGGACACTACCATGTGTCTTATTCGGATAGGCTGCACAAGCATATTCTCATGGTAGAAGCCCATTAGGCTCCTCGTGTTTTAAAGTAATGATAATGGTCCTTGCATTTAATCAACTTTAGAGTTGATTTCCACTTCGAAGCACATGCCGCTTTTGGTAGCAGTGTAATGATAGAAAATGTGTTTAATAAGATTTCTTTGTATGTGAATGTAAGATGAGGGGCTTTTTTCCCCATGCTGATAGGGAGAGGAAAAACTTTGTCTTATATTTGAGTAAATAGGGTAGGTGTAGATATATCTACTTTGATTAGTGTACGGGCATGGCTAAACGTGATGCGTTAATGCGCATTAGCCTAATTTAATGCACATTATGGGCGCACATCTACACATGCACGCCCTTAATGCGCATTAAAAATGGCAAAATTAGGCTAATCAAGCCTAAATTTGATGCCTGTGAATGCAGGTTTTTTCCATGCTGAATGCCAGTTCGTCTCAACTACATTCCTGGTACAGATGAAACAGCTAGTTGTCCAGTATTTTCTCCAGGTTATGATTGGATAATTTGGTTTTTGCTGGAATAAGGTTTGGGCTGCCACCTGATGGTTAAAGAACATTACTAGTCTCTGTTTTAGCAACTGTCAGCCTCATATCCCTCAAGTAGCAAATACAGAGGTATATTTTCAGTCTGTGGCTGGCAGCTTTATTCTTATCTGCTGACACACCGGCAGCAAATTTCACGCAGTGACTGGTGCAATTGGGCCAAATATAGGCAAATATTTGTCTGGGACAGGGATGATCCATCCTTTTAGCTAGACCTAGATGGTGTCTTGAGGTTCCTGCTAGCTCCCTCCCCTTCCGCCCCCCCAATCAGCAATCCTGACACCAAAGGAGCAGCTTATCTAGACTTTGCTGTTAATGACTTGCAGCCTTTGCTAAATTGAAGGGATTGATATCCTGATACCCTGTTAAGATTTTTGCAGAAGTCATGGCAGGATGGCACCTTGTGACCCTCTTGCTCCCCCATACACTTCACCAGGTATTGTCTTTGCTTGAATCGACCTGGCCTTAGAGTTTGAACATCATCAGACAGGCTTGTAGTATTCTCTCTTTAACTGGCATAGCTTCCTACCAAGATCATAGGTACCTGACACCTGCTGAAACTGTAATCCATTTGAAATCAAGTCCCACTACTGGGACTCTGGTTGATAAGTTTTTTGTATCTTTGACAGCTGGCTGTGGTGTGTCATCCCAGAGCCACAGTATCTATTTTAAACAGTCCATAAAGAGCCTACTTATGTCAGATATGCAAGGGAACTATCATGCAATTGCCATTGCTGCTCTTTTGCCTTGCATCCTCTATGCTAAGTCTATCGCTAACATGACTTCTTTT